CTGCCCAGTCTGACTTCTATGTACTCTTTAATGCAGTGGTCCAGTCATTTAGCCTCCTGCTCCATGAATGGGCCCAGCGTGGCTCGTCCCGCCCCCGAGTAAACGCTGTCCTCTCTGGGCTTTTGTTTCGGGGTCCGGAGGGGAGGGGACTGGTCACCCCTGTTGAGTTGGTGGGACGTCCGAATGGAGAGGGGTGTAAAATGGTTCACATATGGTCCGGCGATTCGTGGACTTAAATCCTTGGACGCACACATACGCTCACAATATTCTCTCTCTCTGTTTGGAGGGAAATGAAATCTGTAAACGCTGCTTTAGACTTTGAGCCAATTTCTCTGTAATCCCTCGACCAATCCCTGCGGACTCACTTTGTGTTTGTTGTTGTTGCGTTTCCAATGTTCGAGCGGTTTGATTCTTAAATCTGTTACTGGAGAGTCGTTAGCTTGGTAAAGTTCTTAGAGACGACGGCTGTTGTGGTTTAGGGCCAGACACAAATGCATTGAATTGATCTGAAATGAAACAAAAACTGTCACAAACTTATTGATTCCATCCCCCATGACATATGCCACACATACGGATACACATACACATAAAAATACACACACACATAAACATATACACACACACACACACACACACATATACAGTGCCTTGCGAAAGTATTCGGTCCCCTTGAACCTTTCAACATTTTGCCACATTTCAGGCTTCAAACATAAAGATATAAAATTTTAATTTTTTGTCATGAATCAACAACAAGTGGGACACAATTGTGAAGTGGAATCAAATTTGTTGGATAATTTAAACTTTTTTAACAAATAAAAAACTGAAAAGTGGGGCGTGCAATATTATTCGGCCCCTTTACTTTCAGTGCAGCAAACTCAGTCCAGAAGTTGACTTCTGCAGTTCATCCAGAGCGATCATGGGCCTCTTGGCTGCATCTCTGATCAGTCTTCTCCTTGTTTGAGATGAAAGTTTGGAGGGACGGCCGGGTCTTGGTAGATTTGCAGTGGTCTGATACTCCTTCCATTTCAATATAATTGCTTGCACAGTGCTCCTTGAGATGTTTAAAGCTTGGGAAATCTTTTTGTATCCAAATCCGGCTTTACACTTCTCCACAACAGTATCTCGGACCTGCCTGGTGTGTTCCTTTGTCTTCATGGTTCTCTCTGCGCTTTAAACAGAACCCTGAGACTATCAAAGAGCAGGTGCATTTATACAGAGACTTGATTACACACAGGTGCATTCTTTTTATCATTATCAGTCATTTAGGACAACATTGGATCATTCAAAGATCCTCACTGAACTTCTGGACTGAGTTTGCTGCACTGAAAGTAAAGGGGCCAAATAATATTGCACGCCCCACTATTCAGTTTTTTATTTGTTAAAAAAGTTTAAATTATCCAATAAATTTTCGTTCCACTTCACGATTGTGTCCCACTTGTTGTTGATTCATGACAAAAAATTAAAATTTTATATCTTTATGTTTGAAGCCTGAAATGTGGCAAAATGTTGAAAGGTTCAAGGGGGCCGAATACTTTCGCAAGGCACTGTACATACACACATTGTATATACACTCACACAAAAACACGTATATGTACTTATTCACATACAAATACACACACACACGCACACAAACACATGCTGTATACCCACGCACACAAACATATGTTCAAGTACATATATACACACACACACACGCACACCACCACATGCACACACAAACGCGTATGCACACGAACACACACACATATACACGTACACACACACACACACACACACATACACATGCTGTATACCCACGCACACAAACATATGTTCAAGTACATATATACACACACACACACGCACACTACCACATGCACACACAAACGCGTATGCACACGAACACACACACATATACACGTACACACACACACACACACAAATGTCTTCATGTTATCAAAACATATTACACATACTTTAAAAGACCCGTGTGAGTCACTCTTTTTCACATTTTGGGGCCGCTCCTTTCACTTTCACTTTTGCGTCTGTGGAAAAGCAGATCTGAAGCTGTGTCTGAGTCCAACAACAAACACACAGGAGAAAACTAGAGCTAGAACTATGACCTTTGTGAGAGCGAGACACTAGCCCCATGGATTCTCCTCACATACTTCCATTGTTGGTGGTTTGAAAGTTAAGTACCCCAGCTTTAAAGCCCTCTCTGGGTATTTTGAATCTCATCTTCCTCAAGTCCTTCTGAGAACCAGCCGTGCCTTTTCCCCAAACAGCCTCCTCCGGTCGCACGGCAGGAGCCATTTTGGATTTTTCTTGGCCCGAGATAGGATTTTTCTTTTGGCTCCAGGACCCCTCCCTCTCCCCACTCCCCCTTCCCTCTATGCGCCTGCAGTTTAGTTAAATTAAACAGTTTTCTTTCGCTCCCCTCCCTCTGTCTCCCACCTCTCTCTGCTCTAGGCCTGCGCCACACTTTCCCAATTCTACCCCCGCTACGATCATTTTAACCTTTTTAGTCTCCTCTTCTCTCTCTCTTTCTCTTGCCGTTTTTTCCGCAGATGAAGCGACAAGAGCTGGTTGGAAATGTATAAAAAGACGGAGAGAGAGAGAGTGCGGCGCTTACGGGGGCATAAATAGTGCTTTTAAGATACAGGTCTAAGTGCGCTCGGAGGCACAGATACAGAGACCTGGAGCGGGTAATTTGATTGGATAAGGGAGGCTCTCTGACGCTGCCAAATGGCCGTGATGGGATCTGGCTGCGGAGGGAGTTAAAGTGAGCCACTCTCAAACCGCTGCACTACAAAAGCTGGAGACAATCCAAGAGGCGACATGTGCTGCTTGACCCACTGTGCAGGATTTAAAGCTGGGGAACCTGACTTTTTATCACTTATGAATAGTGCATCTGCCCCTTATGGATTATGATAATAATAATAACAATGTATTGGTTTTCTATAGCGTTTTTCTGGACTCTTAAAGACGCTTCACATGTTGTTATTCATTCACTTCAAACACATGGTTGATAAACTACTACTGTAGCCACAGCTGCCCTGGGGCAGACTGACAGTAGCGAGCCCCCTCCGACCACCACCAACCATTCACACACACACCAGACTCATTCTAATGTGGGGGAAGTGTCTTGCCTAAGGACACAACCACAGTTTTGTCACTTCACAGCTGCGGCCTCCCCACTGTGGCACCTGGTGTTCACAGAGGTCTCCCATCACAGCACTAACCAGGCCCTGTACTGTGCAGCTGGCTGCACTGGATTGTTTTCCTTAGTGTCTGAAAGAACCCTGTCAGTCACTATTTGGGCGGCACGGTGGCTGAGTGGATAGCACTCTCGCCTCTCAGCAAGAAGGTCCTGGGTTCGAATCCCGGTCGGACCAGGGCCTTTCTGAGTGGAGTTTGCATGTTCTCCCCGTGTCTGCGTAGGTTTCCTCCGGGTACTCCGGTTTCCCCTACCACTAAAAATATGTCCAATAGTTCTGGCATGCGCCTCCTGTACTGGCCCCTTCCATCTCTGTGTGGAGTGAGAGACAAATGCCCATAATTAACAATTGTAAACCGCTTTGAGACTCAGATCTGCAGTGAAAAGGCGGTATATAAATAAAAACTTACTTACTTACTTACTTACTATTTGACGATTAGAGGAGGCCAGTCCCTGTGCTCCTCAGAGTTGGTTCCTATGGCACTTAGATGTCTCAGATGTACTTTGGTGTGGACCATGGAGAGAGCAGCTTTAAAGTCTATTCTCTGAGCCACAGGTGCAGAGACCTGAGACCAGGACTAATGTGTTGGTATTTCCTGGTTCTAGTCTGGACTAATGTGATGGTACTTCCTGGTTCTAGTCTGGACTAATGTGATGGTACTTCCTGGTTCTAGTCTGGCCTCGAGCCGCAGTGTTTTGAATATAGAGCGGCCGTTACAGAAATCTATCCCACTGCAGACAAAAGTATGAATAAGAATCTCCAAGTCTGATTCAGAGACTACATTTTTTGATTCAGGCATTTTTAAAATATCTTCTTTTCAATACACGAGCTGTTTTTCCCACTTCATGGACGAACTACATTTAGAATTGATTGAAATGTTTGTTGTTGGAGATAATAGAGAGGTCTTTGTTCGAACCCAGAGGCCTCGGGCCACAGAGACCGGTCCGGGGAAGACCAGGGTCGACATGTGGACGGTCATGTGCTGCGATGGAACATGCATCAAATCTATTTCTGTTCCAAAAACGACAAAGAAACAGGCTGAAAGATGTTTTTTTTCAAGTATTACAGAAAAGTTAAAAACAGAACCTTACGTAGAGTTTTAGAGTTTATATTTGTTGTTGTCAAAGTTGATTCTGAACCGGGAACTGCAGCTGACCATGTGTACGGTATACACACAAGGAATGGAGTTTAGTTCTGGTTTAGTCCTGGTTTAGTCCTGTCTTAGTCCTGGTTTAGTCCTGTCTTAGTCCTGTTTTTGTCATGGTTTAGTCCTGGTTTAGTCCTGTCTTAGTCCTGGTTTAGTCCTGTCTTAGTCCTGTTTTTGTCATGGTTTAGTCCTGGTTTTTGTACATTATGCATTCATTCCAGAGTGGATTTCTTGGACTGAACCAGAATTAAACTAGCACCAAACTAGGACTAAACTGGGTCTAAACCAGGACTAAACAAGAACCAAACAGAGAACAAACCAGGACTTAACCATGACAAAACCAGGACTAAACCAGTACCAAACCAGGACTAAACCGGAACGTAACTAGGGCCGAATCAGGTCTAAACAAAGCTCCAAACTTGGACTAAACCAGATCTAAACCAGGTCCAAACCAGGACTAAACAAGGTCTAAACCAGGTCTAAACCAGGACCAAACCAGAACCAAACCAGGATCGAACCAGAACCAAACCAGGACTAAACCAGGACCCAACAGTCCCACAGTCTTTGTCCCGTGTGGCTTCATATTTCTCTCTTTGTTAATGTGAGGAGCGCGGGTCTTTGCCTCCGATTTCCACGCTCCATCTGGGGAATCCGTCATGGCTCCTCCGGCCCCTCTCCGCGGAGGCCTGTCACCTGCCCAGTGGGGGGGCGAGGGGGGTGAGGGGGGGTAAAGGGGGGTAGGGGGTTGGTGGGTGAGGGGGTAAGAGCCAGAGAGCATTTAAATCACACTCTACCACTGTCCGGAGGGAGGGGGGAGATCCACATAATCCGTTAGAGAGAGACCAGAGAGGGACCAGAGAGAGGCCAGAGAGAGGCCAGAGAGAGACCAGAGAGAGACCAGAGAGAGACCAGAGAGAGACCAGAGAGAGACCAGAGAGAGACCAGAGAGAGACCAGAGAGAGACCAGAGAGAGACCAGAGAGAGACCAGAGAGAGACCAGGGGGAGACCAGAGAGAGAGACCAGAGAGAGAGACCAGAGAGAGACCAGAGAGAGACCAGGGAGAGACCAGAGAGAGACCAGAGAGAGACCAGAGAGAGACCAGAGAGAGACCAGGGGGAGACCAGAGAGAGACCAGAGAGAGAGACCAGAGAGAGAGACCAGAGAGAGACCAGAGAGAGACCAGAGAGAGACCAGAGAGAGACCAGGGAGAGACCAGAGAGAGACCACATTTCTAACCATTTAGAGGTTGTTATTTTGACCCGTGCCAACTTTAAAAACCGTTCTTTTCCGTTGGCTTCTCTTGCTTCAGCTTCATGTGAACCTCAGAGAGAGTCGTCAGCACAAAACTGCGGTGGAAAAGTTTGATCCACTTTTAACCATTTTCCTCTTTTTCCTCAAGACTCTGTGTCTCTTTCACATTAGTTCAGCTTTTGGGTTTTAAAACTCGACACCGACCGAAAGAGAAACATAAGCAAAAAGTAGCAGGTGGTGATTTGTGGAAGGATAAAATAAATAAAGTAACAGAGGTACATTTGTTTTGGCTCCAGAGAGAGACCAGAGAGAGACCAGAGAGAGACCAGAAAGAGACCAGAGAGAGACCAGAGAGAGACCAGAGAGAGACCAGAGAGAGAGAGAGCAGAGAGAGAGCAGAGAGAGACCAGAGGGAGAGACAAGAGAGAGAGGCCAGAGAGAGAGAGAGCAGAGGGAGAACAGAGGGAGACCAGAGGGAGACCAGAGGGAGAGACAAGAGAGAGAGGCCAGAGAGAGAGCAGAGGGAGACCAGAGAGAGAGCAGAGAGAGACAAGAGAGAGAGGCCAGAGAGAGAGAGAGAGCAGAGGGAGAACAGAGGGAGACCAGAGAGAGAGAGCAGAGAGAGCGAGAGAGAGAGAGCGAGACCAGAGAGAGAGAGGAGAGAGACCAGAGGGAGACCAGAGAGAGACAAAAATAGACGAGAGAGAGCAGAGAGAAATCAGAGAGAGACCAGAGGGAGACCAGCGAGATAGACCAGAGAGAGAACAGAAAAAGAGAGAGAGAGACCCGAGAGAAAGAGAGACCAGAGACACATTTCATCCATGCTTGTTATTACCGCATGATTCTCTGATCTGCTGTTGGGGAATAAAACCAGGATTTAACTGCAACTAAACCAGTACCAAACTAGGACTACACCAGGACCAACCTAAACCAGGACCAACCTCATTACAAATTCACTTTGTAAGCCAATGAGCCAAAGCCAATTCTTAGTTTGTGACATTCTCTTTCTCACAATGGCAATAGAGATAATTCTGATTCTGGTGTTTCTTTGCAGATGCAGAAGGGTCTGAGGACATTTATGGACACACTGCAAAAAGTGATGAAAAATAAGTCACAAAAATTCTCAAATTTGTTATAGCATGTTTGAATTTGAGCACATTCTGACTGAGTCTTAAAACCAGATTTGCCAAAAGGACAAAGAGCAAAATTATCTTGTTTTGAAAAGATACAGAAACTTCTTCTTTGGAATGAGAAAATAAAGCAACAGTTCTTGAAATAAGACTAAATGGTTTTGTCCCATTTGAGGATCTGGTTTCAACACCGTCAGATTGTGTCAGATTAAGACTAAAAACACTTGATTCAAGCTTTTATTACCTCATATTTTATCATTTTTTGCAGTGTTTCTAACGTTGGCCTCTGCTCCTTTGGACCATGTGCTTTTCTTAAATATCTTGTTCTACATTTCTTGTTTCTCTCTCTCTACATGACAGCTTTGTAAAGTCCTCCGAGAAAACTACAGTTGTGATTTAGTACGATACAAATATGAATTTAATTGAATTGATTCTCATAATAATAATAATAATAATGCATCGGTTTTATATATCACTTTTTTGGACACTCAGAGTCTCTTCACATCATTATTCATCCACTCCATACACAGTGGTGATAAACCACTACTGTAGCCACAGCTGCCCTGGGGCACACTGACAGAAGCGAGGCAACCAGTCTGTGCCATCAGCCCCTCCCACCACCACCAACCATTCACACACACACCAGACTCATTCTAATGTGGGGGAAGTGTCTTGCCTAAGGACACAACAGCATTTTTGACACTTTACAGCCGCCCCACTGTGTTATCTACTGTTCCCAGAGGTTACGTGTCTTGCCCAAGGACACAACAACAGCAGACATCAGTGGGAGTCGATCGAGAAAGTCTTGTGGGCTCAAACCCAAGACCTTCAGGCGTAAAGGCCAATGCTCTACCAACTGAGCCACTCTCGCCCCAACAAACTCTGAATCTGAGTCGACAGCTCTTTTTGATCTACGTCACTTTTATCTTTCATCTGGACACTTTTCCAACACGTTCATTACCTTTTCCACCGAGCTCCGGATCAGAGTCCGCCGCCGCCGCTGCCGCCGTGTCGCTGGTGTAGAATGTGCCTGAGCTCGGTCGCTTCCAGAACCGATGGTAATTCCAAAGTGATTAAGGATTTTCCCGCTTTTCTGAGGACTCAAATCCCTGTGAAATGTGCAGGAGCGTGAGCTGAAAGAAGTGAACGGGAAGAATCTGAATTGGTCACTGGTCGAGGGAAAGAGTGGAGGAGGTGGTGCTTTTAGAGACCATTTCAAAGTTAAAGATGGAAAACCTAATTTCTGATAAATGAAAAAATAAATACATATACTATTCCTATAGACATTGGTCTCTGCTCCTTATGGACCAATGGCTCTATGTGTTTTTTATCTTTGCATTTCCTGTGTTTGAGCTCTTTGATTCTCTGATCTGTTGTTGGCAAATCGACAGTTTTGTCCTCCGAGTCTGTGAATCCGTCAGACCTCTACACGCTGTTTTAGTCTAATTGTGTATTGATCTAGCCACTGTTGACTCGAGCAGCAGACGGTACTTAAGATCGTTTTATTTATTCATTATTTTTTATTTTTTTATTCATTTTTTTATTTTTTTTTATCGGTGCAGCGTGCGCAGTTATGCGGTCGCTGTATCGGACCGTTGTGGTAAAGAGGGAGCTGAGCCGAAAGGCAAAGCTCTCGATTTACCGGTCAATCTTCGTTCCCTCCCTCACCTATGGTCATGAGCTTTGGGTAATGACCGAAAGAACGAGATCGCGAATACAAGCGGTCGAAATGAGCTTCCTCCGCAGAGTGGCTGGGCGCTCCCTTAGAGATAGGGTGAGGAGCTCGGTCACACGGGAGGAGCTCGGAGTAGAGCCGCTGCTTCTCCACGTCGAGAGGAACCAGTTGAGGTGGCTTGGGCATCTGTTCCGGATGCCTCCTGGATGCCTCCCTGGGGAGGTGTTCCGGGCACGTCCCATTGGGAGGAGGCCCCGCGGAAGACCTAGGACACGCTGGAGGGACTATGTCTCTCAGCTGGCCTGGGAACGCCTTGGGGTCCCCCCGGACGAGCTGGAGGAAGTGTGTGTGGATAGGGAAGTCTGGGCGTCTCTGCTTAGACTGCTGCCCCCGCGACCCGGCAACGGATAAAGCGGAAGAAAATGGATGGATGGATGGATGTCCTACTGGCAGATCATTTAGCTTGAAACAAGTACATTTCTTCTAAAAGTAGCTTCTTAATACTTTTGAGTCACTATTTCACTCTTTGGGCTGAGAGCTGAATGAGTTTGGTTTTCTCTTCATTTTTCTGTCTGAAAAAGAGAAAAAAGAGAGAGAGAGACCAGACAGAGGCTAGAGAGAGACCAGAGAGAGAGAGAGAGAGAGAGAGAGAGAGAGAGACCAGACATAGTCTAGAGAGAGAGACCAGAGAGAGAGACCAGACAGAGGCTAGAGAGAGACCAGAGAGTGACCAGAGAGAGAGAGAGAGAGAGAGAGAGAGAGAGAGAGAGAGACCAGACATAGTCTAGAGAGAGAGACCAGAGAGAGAGACCACACAGAGGCTAGAGAGTGAGACCAGAGAGAGGCGCCAGACAGAGGCTAGAGAGAGAGACCAGAGAGTGAGAGACCAGAGAGTGAGAGACCAGACAGAGGCTAGAGTGAGAGACTAGAGAGTGAGAGACCAGAGAGAGAGGCCAGAGAGAGAGACAAGACTGAGGCTAGAGAAAGAGACCAGAGAGAGAGACCAGAGAGAGAGAGACTAGAGAGGGAGAGACTAGAGAGGGAGAGACCAGAGAGGGAGAGACCAGAGAGGGAGAGACCAGAGAGAGAGAGACCAGAGAGGGAGAGACAAGAGAGAGGCCAGTCACTTTAAGTTTGTTTTGCTTTGAAAGTTAGGTATCCCAGCTTTAACTCAGCATTATTTTCTCTCTCTCTCTCTTTTCAAACGCTTCTCACACTCCAAACGCCGCAACTTCCTTTAGACCCTTTCATTTCGTGTGTCACACTTAATTAAGTCCCCCCTCAGCTCTTGCAGGGGGAGGAGTTTGGTGTGCAACACCGTATTAGTTCCCCCCTTGGAAGCAACAATAAAACACGAGGCGTCCAAATAGCTGCGGGCCCCTCATGTGAAACTGATCCCCGGGGCCGGACCGGTCGGTGGGAGGCCCCCAAACACGCATTAGGGTCCAAATTGGTAAAGAAACATTGAGCCATGAGAAAGCGTCAGGACCTGGAGCTGGAGGAACAATATTATCAAAAGAGCAAAAGTATTGCCTCAGGAATTCCGCTCAATCAACAGGTTTGAGATGAAGACATTCAGACTGTTGTCGTTTTAGTCCGGACAGGTTTTCGGTCTCGTTACGGTCACTAACTTAAAACATATCGCACCCGAGGCATTATTTTTACTATTATAATCACTGCGTTATTGGGTGAAAACTGCTGAAGAGACAATAGGTGACCCGGTGAGTCACTGTTTGATGCTTTTGGCTGAGAGCTGATTGGCTGAGAGCTGATTGGCTGAGAGCTGATTGGCTGAGAGGGGGTGGTCCTCTCTTTGTCACTGTTCTGTCTGAATAAGCAGATCTACAGATATGACGGAAGTGAAAAGATACAGTTTTATAGTTTTGTTTTTCCTTTACAGATGCCTTAGGAGGTGATCCAGGACTCTCCACATTAATTAACATTTACTCACATTAATTCACATTTATTCACATTTATTCACACTAATTCACATTTATTCACATTTATCATCTTTCCCTTATGAACAAATGGCTATAAGTTTTTTAATAATGGCATTTCCTGTGTTTGATTCTCTAATCTGTGTCGGTGAATTGACAGCTTTGTAAATTCCCGCCGACTTAACTGCTGGGCCTTTCTGAGTGGAGTTTGCATGTTCTCTCCGTGTCTGCGTAGGTTTCCTCCGGGTGCTCCGGTTTCCCCTACCACTTAAAACATGTACAATTGGTCTGAATGTAAAAGAGTGAGTGAATGGATGGTGTTTGGTCGGAGGCTTTGATGGCCCAGTGTGTTCTGGACTGGCTTCCGTCATCACCGTGTGGAGGGAATGGAACAATATCTGATTCTGAACATTGTAAAGCGCTTTGGGATGACCTTGGAGGGCGGGACAACAAAATGAAAACAATAAAACTGTAAACTAATTTAGAAATTCAAATATCTCTGAACTACTGTTATCAGTTAAAGAAGTATTGGAAATGAGCAGTTTATTATTATGACAGATTAGGGCCCTTTAATGATGACAGATTAGGGCCCTTTAATGATGACAGATTGGGGCCCTTTAATGATGACAGATTAGGGCCCTTTAATGATGAAAGATTAGGGTCCTTTAATGATGACAGATTAGGGCCCTTTAATGATGACAGATGAGGGCCCTTTGATGATGACAGATTAGGGCCCTTTAATGATGACATTTTAGGGCCCTTTAATGATGACAGATTAGGGCCCTTTAATGTAGACGGCTTAGGGCCCTTTAATGTCGACAGATTAGGGCCCTTAATGATGACAGAATAGGGCCCTTAATGATGACAGAATAGGGCCCTTAATGATGACAGAATAGGGCCCTTTAATGTCGACAGATTAGGGCCCTTTAATGTCGACAGATTAGGGCCCTTAATGATGATAGATTAGAGCCCTTTAACGATGACAGATTAGGGCCCTTTTAATGATGACTGGACATGAAAATCTTACATATTTCTACTTTGACAAATCAAATATGGTTTTAGAGTGTGAGTATGTGTCTCTCTCTGGGTGTTGATCCCCCTCTGTGCCCTGGGAGCCTCCGTCAGACGGATTATCGCTGCCACGTCTGTGAATGTGTTTGTGAATGGAGCGTTGTTGCCGTCGGTAACAGAGGCTCCCATAGACTTAATCCTGTCAGCGGTGAAAGGGTGAAGATTTGGTGAAACAGAGATAAAACTGGAGGTGGAGGTGTTTTTGGACGCTTTTTCAAGCTCTTTCTTCTGCGTGTTTTGAAAAACTTTTGTCACACACATCAGATCTGAAGCTAAGCAGGGCAGGGGCTGGTTAGTGCTTTGATGGGAGACCTCTGGGAACAGCAGGTGCCACAGTGGGGCGGCTGCGGATGTAAAGTGCCGAACTGTGGCTGTGTCCTTAGGCAAGACACTTCCCCCACATTAGAATGAGTCTGGTGTGTGTGTGAATGGTTGGTGGTGGTGGGAGGGGGCTGATGGCACAGACTGGTTGCCTTGCTTCTGTCAGTGTGCCCCAGGGCAGCTGTAGCTACTGTAGTCGTTTATGCACATGATGCCCATGGTATTTACAGTTTTAAAGTAAATTGTCCAATCAGAGAGCAGAAAGACCAGTTGTTTGATAACATTTAGCTGATTTTGGCTCTATGCCGTTAAAAACTGATCCCCAGCAGGTGGATTGCATCAGTAATCTATGTCTGGCTTCAAAAGTTGGAATGTGATTATCCATCCATCCATTTCCTTCCATTTCCCTCCCCACACACACATGGTTCCTCCAACAGGTCCTGGGGTCTTCCACCAGGTGAATGTAATTGTAATTAATTCATTAGACAAAGCCAGAGATGTAGCTGTATATAGCATGTAGGTTGGAATTGATGCTAACAATGCTAACAATACTAGCTTGATACAGCCTAATAGGGAAGTGCTCATAAAAAACTGTTATAGCTCAGTAACCGTTTGTGTCGCACTCAACATTTTGGTCCTGGTGTTTTTATTTTAATGATGTGTTTGTAAATCCGTATACAACCTACAATAACTGACCAATCCGGTGCCTTCCATCCCTGAATATGGCTTTGGCTACACTGCAAAAGGGGATGACAAAATAAGTAAAACATTTATCTTCATTTGAGCAAATTCTGACTGAGCCTCAACACAAGATTTGCCAATGGGACAATGAGAAAATTTTTGTTTCAATAAGATACAAGAAATATCTCCCTTAGAACAAGTAAGTAAAGCAACAGTTCTTGAAATAAGACTAAATGTCTACTCTGGTTTTAAAGCAGTCAGAATGTGTCAGATTGAGATAAAAACCACTCGTTTCAAGCATTTTTTAATCTCATATTTTATCATTTTTTGCAGTGTATACAGGCTAAACTAGCATACGCACAGCTCCGAGCAGAGAATATTAATCCATCACCGTTTATTCAGCTCGTAACGGGCTTTTGACGCCTTTTCACACCAAACTTTTATGATTCTGTGAGCTGTCAATGCCTGTAATCAACTGGACATAATCTAATTCCACATCAAACTCAGAATATATGCATGGAGCTAACTCTGCATTCGGTTTCCTGAGAAGCACTCAGGACCAGTTGGAAGTAACAGGATTTCTCCAGGAGTCTGTGTCGGTAATCAGCCGAAAGTAATAGAATGAAACATCAAAGTCAGGATTAAGGAAGTTAAAGCCTCAATCTTTGGACAGAAAATCCACAAATGTTGAGGCTTTTTGTCAGAGAATGGCTCCACACACAGATGGATTAATGACAAAGGCCAAAACCAACGGTGGGATGGTACGAGAGGACGTTAAAGGGGACATTAAAGGGGAGGTTTAGTGTTGTCGCTGTTTCTCTTTTTCTTTTGTTAAGCCACAGTTTATTCACGAGGGAAATGTGTTTTATTCTGGATTATTGTTTTTGTTACATAAGCGAGACCAGAGATACCAGAGAGAGACCAGAGAGAGACCTGAGAGGGACCAGAGAGAGACAAGAGAGAGACCAGAGAGAGACCAGAGAGAGACAAGAGAGAGACCAGAGAGGGACCAGAGAGAGACAAGAGAGAGACCAGAGAGAGACCAGAGAGAGACCAGAGAGGGACCAGAGAGGGACCAGAAGGAGACCAAAGAGAGACCAGAGAGAGACCACAAAGAGACCAGAGAGAGACCAGAGAGGGACCAGAGAGGGACCAGAGAGGGACCAGAGAGAGACCACAGAGAGACCAGAGAGACCACAGAGAGACCACAGAGATAGACCAGAGATAGGCCAGAGATAGACCAGAGGTAGACCACAGAGAGACCACAGAGAGACCAGAGACCACAGAGAGACCACAGAGAGACCACAGAGAGACCAGAGAGAGACCACAGAGAGTCTTTAACGCTTGCTCCGGCTGTCGTCTCCAGCGCCTCAATCTGAGGAGGGCTCAGAGGTAGAGTCTGAGCCGGACCTGCCGCTGAAGAGGAAGCAGCGCCGGAGTCGGACCACGTTCACCGCGGAACAGCTGGAGGAGCTGGAGAGAGCCTTCGAACGCACCCACTACCCAGACATCTACACCAGAGAGGAGCTAGCACAGAGGGCCAAGCTGACCGAGGCCCGCGTCCAGGTGATAGACACGTCCCAACACACATACCCACTGCCCAGATATCAACACTTCTTTTGGTCTCTCTGGTCTGTCTGTGGTCTCTCTCTGGTCTGTCTGAATGTGGTCTCTCTCTGGTCTCTCTCTCTGGCCTCTCTATCTGTGTTCTCTCTCTCCAGTCCCTCTCGTTTCTCTCTGGTCTCTCTCTAGTCTCTATCTGGACTTCCTGTTATCTCTCTTTGGTCTCTCTCTCAGCTCTCTGGCTTGCCCCTCTCTGAGATCTCTTTCTGGTCTCTCTCTGATCTCTCCCTGGTCTCTTTCTGGTCCCTCTCTCTGATCTCTCACTGGTCTCTCTCTGGTCCCTCTCTCTGGTCCCTCTCTCTGGCCTCTCTCCGATCTATCCCTGGTCTCTCTCTGGTCCCTCTCTCCGATCTCTCCCTGGTCCCTCTCTCTCTGATCTCTCCCTGATCTCTCCCTGGTCTCTCTCTCTGATCTCTCCCTGGTCCCTCTCTCTGGTCTCTCTCCCTGGTCCCTCTCTCTGGTCTCTCTCCCTGGTCCCTCTCTCTGGTCTCTCTCCCTGGTCTCTCTCTCTCTGATCTCTCCCTGGTCCCTCTCTCTGGTCTCTCTCCCTGGTCCCTCTCTCTGGTCTCTCTCCCTGGTCTCTCTCTCTGATCTCTCCCTGTTTAGAGCCTTCTCTCCTTGGTAAAACACAGACACAAACCCAAACAACACGCCAACCTTTCCCTCTCTCGTTTCCTGGGTCGACACAGGCCTGCAGCACGACCATAACGACACATACTTCCATTCCCCTCCTTCTACATACTCTCGCCTCTATCTTTCTCACACACTCCATCTGCTCCCAATCCACTCTTGTTTTCAGAATCACATGTTTTGCGTTTTCGATTGTAGTTTTACAGCGATACCATAAAACCTCGGGTCTCACATCTTGACCACAGTTCTCCCACACATCCACAAAGACTTTTTTTTCTCCAGAATTTCCCGTTTAACCTGCTCCTTATGATCCCAGCCCACACTGACGCCTCCACCTGTTGTAAAAACCCGGTCTGTTTCCCTCCCGGAGAAGCCACATGGGAGATTCTCCAAGAACTCATCCTCGAATCTCGTCTATTTGAAAAGACGTTTCTGACAGAAATCTGGACGAGTTAGAAATGACGCTTTTCCTTTGTCCGAGTTTGAGGAGTTCACTTATTTTAGTGTGTCGTGTTTTGTGTTTTTGACCTCGAGGTGTGTTTGTGAGTGTAAGAATGGTCAAAGATATCACAGATAAGTTTGCTCAGGTCTAATGATAAAAAACTCTCTCTCTGGTCTCTCTTTAGTCTCTTTCTAGTCTCTTTTCGGTCTCTCTCTGGTCTTTTCTGGTCTCTCTCTGGTCTCTCTCTGGTCTCTCTTTCTGGTCTCTCTCCCTGGTCTCTCTCTGATCTCTCTCTGGTCTATCTCTGGTCTCTCTAGTCTCTCTCTAGTCTTTTTCTAGTCTCTCTTTGGTCTCTCTCTCTGGTCCCTCTATAATCTCTCTGGTCTCTCTCTGGTCTCTCTCTTGTCTATATCTGGTCTCTCAAGTCTGTTTAGTCTCTTTCTAGTCTCTTTGGTCTCTCTCGCTAGTCTCTTTCTGGTCCATTGATTTGAATGGGAGCAGTCAAAATGACGGCTCTGGGAGTTCTAGTTCTCTTGCTATTCCTTAAAGAGTAAATTGCAATCTTCATCTCCTGACTCCATGTGTTTCTGCAGGTGTGGTTCAGTAACCGGAGAGCGCGCTGGAGGAAGCAGGCGGGAGCCAATCAGCTGATGGCGTTTAACCACCTGATCCCCGGCGGCTTCCCTCCCTCCGCCATGTCCAGTCTGCAGCCCTACCAGCTCTCTGAGACGCCCTACGCCCCCTCCTCCATCGCACAGGGTAAGAGCCAGCAGGAGGCCAGTCCCTGTGCTCCTCAGAGTCCCAGCAGGAGGCCAGTCCCTGTGCTCCTCAGAGCCCCAGCAGGAGGCCAGTCCCTGTGCTCCTCAGAGCCCCAGCAGGAGGCCAGTCCCTGTGCTCCTCAGAGTCCCAGCAGGAGGCCAGTCCCTGTGCTCCTCAGAGTCCCAGCAGGAGGCCAGTCCCTGTGCTCCACAGAGTCACAGCAGGAGGCCAGTCCCTGTGCTCCACAGAGTCACAGCAGGAGGCCAGTGGAAGCAGAGTTACAAACGTTGTGAAAGTAATAAAAATTTTGGGATGCAAAAAAATAAAAGGTTTTTGTTTTAGCAGCTTTAGCCTCAGAGCTGAGGGTGGTCTTCTCTTTTTCGATTTTCTCTCAGAAAAAAATATTGATCTAAAGTTGTGGAACACTGCTTTGAGAGAAAGGGACAAGAGGAATTTGATAAAATGATTCTATATTTCCATCATCATTTCCATTTTGTTTGAAAGTTTGGCTTCATTCACTCTTTTCCCACTAACTCAATATGTCTGTCTGCATTTCCAGAGGCCCCCAGCACAGTGCACCGGCCCCAGCCTCTGCCTCCCTCGTCCGGACACCAGAGCTCCAGCGGGACCCAGGGTGAGGGCACCGCGGCCTACTGCCTGGCCCCGGGACGGCACTCCTTCTCTGGTTACGCTGACAGCTTTGTGAGCCCTGGAGGACCGGCCAACGCCATCAACCCGGCTCTCAGCAACGGACTCTCTCAACAGGTCGGTCCACAGTCCAAGGCAGTTTGGGGGGGGGGGGGGGGGGGGGGGGGGGGGGGTTCTGCTTGCTCTCTGGGTTCTCTCCTCAAGGAAACAAGAACCAGAACAGATGACTTTAAATCAGTAGCTTTACGAACTGTATATTAAGAGACATGTTTCCAAATGTTTACTGCAGTGTGCTTCCTCTTCCAATCACTTTGACGACATTCATTCTGATGCAGATTGTGGCCTGATTTAATAAATAGTAGGTTTAAAATAGTTAGAAACATCTCAAAACAAGCCACAAAATCTGGATTGTTCACACTATAAATGCAAAAAATAATAGAAAATGTGTCAAAAATGGCTCAACTTTGGCTTCATGTATCTGAATTTGAGCACATTCTGGCCTTAAACAAGATTCCCCTGTGGGACAAAGAGCAAAATGATCTTGTTTTTTAAAGATACAAGAATTGTTTCCTTTAGAATGAGAAAATAAAACTAAATGTCTGGGTCCTGTTGTGGAAATTCTGCACTGACAGAGAGCAAAAATAATGTAAACAACCAAGAGCTGCAAAACAATCAAAGTGTGAGTTTATTCATTAGTAAATGTGCACATATACAATGAGTAACAGAACCGATACCGATACCACCGGGCAGCCGTCTGAAATCGTGGAAATGAGGAAATGACTGGACATTAAATAGACTGGAGTAAACAAACACATATCTACTCTAGATATTACATAAATCAAGTCAACATTGATATGTGTTGCTCAAGACTTCTCTACGCTGATACAACTCTGATATATGTAACAATCTGCTTCTGACCTGAACATATTGTTCTATGACCCAGATGAGGTCAAAGGCATGTTGCAGCACATCTCCATCTATCAGCTGACCTGGATGACAACTGAATCCAGAGCTGACTATTAGTTTATAACTTACACTTATAACTATTTGGTGTTAATTCAGATTGCTTTACTAAATATTTCTATAACAGTCCCATTGGAGAATCTTTTAAAACAGCCAGAATTACCTCAAACTAAGATGAAAAACCACTAGATCTAAGCAATTTTTACCTCAGATTTGATCATTTTTTGCAGTGTATTTCATGACTCAAAAGTGAATCATTCAGGATCATGTGTAAATGAATCCTTTGGGGAGCTACCTGATGGTTTTGATGAGAATCACTGTGTTGAGAAAAGGTTCGAAACATCTCAAAACAAACCAAAATAACCCAAGTTTATCCAGTACGCAGCAGACTAGACCAGTGTTTTTCAACCAGTGGGCCAAGGGACGTTAGTGGGCCTTCAGATGTTATTCAGTGTGCCTTGGGAAATAATCCAATATCACCTATTTGGACAATAATGTGAAAAACGAAAGAATTAGAAAATTATATATAAAAATATATTTGATTTTCTTTTTGAAACACTTTGAGATTTACTTTGTTAGGGCGGTGCGGTGGCTGAGTGGTTAGCACTCTCGAATCTCGGTTGAAACAGGGCCTTTCTGGGTGGAGTTTGCATGTTCTCCCCGTGTCTTCCTTTTGACACAAATTAGTCCTGCCCTCACTCTGTCACCTGCTCATGAGATTCACTCTTTAATAAGCTTCTCTCTTCTCTCCATTTCTCTCTCTCTCACTTCTCTAACTTTTCTCTCCTCTCTCCTCTAAAAACATGCACAATAGTTCTGACTGTAATGAGTGAGTAAATAGATGGTGTTTGGTCGGAGGGTTTGATGGTCCAGTGTGTTTGCCGTCTAGACTCTGAACAGTTGTAAAGCGCTTTGGGTGTGACCTTGGTCTGTAAAATGCGCTATATAAATAAACATCACTTACTTTGTTTTGTTAATAAAGGCTGCAGAGTTGCATCAGTTTGGTTCAGTTTTAGCCGGTGATGAGCCATGAGACAGTTTTAAATGTCACGGCTCAAAAGGGTTGGGGAACACTGGTCTAGACCGTCCGAGTCTGGGACATGGGTGACTCTGTACCTCCGGGGTTCAGCTGAGACCTCCGTCCTCGACATTCCCGACATACTTCCCGCCACATTCCTTCCTGGATGAATGTGCGTTTGTGTCTTCTTTACTTGACGTGGACAGAGTCGCTCTCTGGCCCGAGGCTCCACACGAGGCTTCACACGAGGCTTCACACGAGGACGAGACGACATGACCACGATCTGAATTGTTTTTGTTGACAACCGGGTCCTTCATCAGAGAGTCTGAGGGCTAGAGATTCATTATATTTGCCATTTGCAGTAAAACTCCTTTGGAATACATCCGCAAATGTCCCCAGTTTACTCAAGAAATGTCTCCTTTAGAATGAGAAAATAAAACAACAGTTCAGGAAAAAAGACTCATGGTTTTATGGAGAATCTGGTCAAACAAAGATAAAAAACACTTGATTTAAGCAAATTTTACCTCATATTTGATCATTTTTGCAGTGTATGTATTTAAGGACTAAGGAAGTAATAAATATATAGATCCTTTATTGTTTCCGGGACACAGTTAATATACAGACTTATTCTGTACACATACTGTATACATGCTACAGTTACATCTATATCAATATTATTTTTCTCTCATTTTGATATGAAAATGTGCTGTAATATTTCAAAAAAAACACAAAGGAAAAGAATAGAATTATACTGCATTAGTAATTATTGACTACATCAAGTTTTAGTCGCTATAGCCCACTTTGTCTAAACAGATGAAGGTGAATGAGTGATTGAAGCTAGGGGTGAAGCTAATGGTTAAGCTAACAGTAAAGCTAACGTTAAGCTAACAATATAGTCCAGAAAGTACAGTAATACATTTTGCTCGTCCAAATAGAAAGAGTCTTGAAACATGTTAAGATAAGATAAGATAAGATATGCTTTATTTATCTCACAAAGGAGAAATTTACAAGATTGTGCAAAAAGAAAGAAATGTGCAAACATGTTAAATGCAGGATATATTATGTACAACAAAAGTGTCAAGTGTCAATTTGAAGATGTTTAGAGCTGCCTTAATCATGTAGCGGTCCCAGAGACAGTGTATATTAACGGACAGAGTCACGCTATCTCAGCCGTTCTAACTAATGGGCAAAAAATTTGCTCTACTGGAGCTATCCAAAATAGCCGCGAGTGGTCCCGCCCACAAGAAAAATTGTGAAAAAACGCATCTGCGCATGCGTCAGTCGGCACAGCTCCATTCATTTGAACGAGAGACTTAAAAAATCCACAGCAAGTAAACTAGAGTGGACCAAAAAAGTTCACCCCCCTCAGCATTGACACACATGTGGAACGGAGCTTTGGGCAAGAGCCAACTTTTGGTCCATCCTGTAAGACGTTTTCGAGAGATCTGCCAATGCTATATGTTAGCATTGGCTAATTGTACTTCTGGGGTCCACCCCCAACGGCCCGGGGTGGTATTGCAAGCATGTCAGCGCAGTTAGACTATTTACAGTTAGGCTAGTAACAGTTAGGCGAGTAACTTCCAAACTAGAACCCTCTGGAACTGCATGAAAACTGAACAAAGATTCTGAACATCAGCGGTGAGTGACCCAAACATAAACTTAACCTAAAACCATAATTCGATCCTCTGCAAAATGTTCCTAAAATGTCCTGGAATGTACTTCCAGGTTTATCGCAATCGCTTTTTGTCACATTTAAAACAGTATTTTGTCATGAAAACCTAAACATATACTTCTGAATACCTCCGTGCATGTGTATTAAGAATGTACATTGGGCAAAAAAGTATTTAGTCAGCCACCGATTGTGCAAGTTCTCCCACTTAAAATAACGACAGAGGTCTGTAATTTTCATCATACCTGTAGGTACACTTCAACTGTGAGAGACAGAATGTGAAAAAAAAATCCAGGAGTTCACATTGTAGGATTTTTAAAGAATGTATTTGTAAATGATGGTGGAAAATAAGTATTTGGTCAATAACAAAAATTCAACTCAATACTTTGTAATACAACCTTTGTTGGCAATAACAGAGGTCAAACTATAGGTCATTACCAGGTTTGCACACACAGTATTTTGGCCCATTCCTCCCTGCAGATCAAGAGCAGTGATGTTTTGGGTCTGTCGCCGAGCAACACAGACTTTCAACTCCCTCCATAGATTTTAAATGGGGTTGAGGTCTGGAGACTGGCTAGGCCACTCCAGGACTTTCAAATGCTTCTTACGGATCATGAGAACCCAGCCGTTCTCATGATCCCACGGGATGAGATCTAGCGTGGAGCCCCAGATCGAGGGAGATTATCAGTGGTCTTGTATGTCTTCCCTTTTCTGATAATTGCTCCCACAGTTGATTTGTTCACACCAAGCTGCTTGCCTATTGTAGATTCACTCTTCTCAGTCTGGTGCAGGTCTACAATTATTTTCCTGGTGTCCTTCGACAGCTCTTTGGTAATGGCCATAGTGGAGTTTGGAGTCTGACTGTTTGAGGCTGTGGACGGGTGTCTTTTATACAGATAACGAGTTCAAACAGGTGCCATTAATACAGGTAACGAGTGGAGGACAGAAGAGCTTCTTAAAGAAGAAGTTACAGGTCTGTGAGAGCCAGAGATCTTCCTTGTTTGAAGTGACCATAATTTACAAATACATTCTTTAAAAATCCTACAATGTGAATTTCTGGATTTTTTTTCACATTCCGTCTCTCACAGTTGAAGTGTACCTATGATGAAAATTACAGACCTCTGTCATTATTTTAAGTGGGAGAACTTGCACAATCGGTGGCTGACTAAATACTTTTTTGCGCCACTGTATATGTATAATATATTCTCCCATTTGTGTCTACGTGTCTGCGTAGGTTTCCTCCGTGTACTCCGGTCCCCTACCACTAAAAATATATACAATAGGTCTGGCATGCGCCTCCTGTTTGGCGACCCTGCTCCCATCTCTGTGTGGAGAGAGAGGACAAGTGCCCAAAAAATAACAATTGTAAACCGCTTTGTGACTCTGGTCTGTGAAACGGCGGTATATAAATAAAGATTACTTACTTACTTACATTAACATTTAAATGTGTTATTGATTGGTATTTGC